GAGCATCTGTCATGTCGAGATGTTTATATACATGTAAACAATCCTTTCCTAACACTGAACGTAGCGTGGCTACCTAATGACATCATCTTTCTTATTTAATTCTGTGGCTATTTCATAGTCTTCCCACTGTGAACGGAAGAATGACCAGTTTTGAACAAGATCGCCTTTCATTTCCATGACCGCTGGAACTGGAAAGTTATTAGAAGCCATATTTTTTTTTTTTTTTTTTTTTCAATATTGAATGCACTTGTACGTGGATTACGGTAGTGCCGGCAACGGCGGTAATAATACGGATATTCCGTCTGCGAACGAATGTGTTCTTTTCCCGTTAAGGCTCACTTACTGAACGATCCTTGCATGTGAGGCACTTCACTACTCTCATCGAGTCTTCACGCTTCTAGTTCAGTCTCTTTTCTGTGAAATTTAGTGGCTTATCACACCAAATTATCCCACTTCTGACACCATGTTTCGTGTTGTATGTATTTATTACATTCTCAAGATGGCTGCCCCAACATCCGGGTCATGGGGTTACTAAGGACTAGGGTCATAGGTCAAATGGACTATATAGCAATATAGTCAATATCGTAACAAATCACGATTATTATGAAATGAAACACACCTTTACACGCATATTTTAAAGAATATCGTCGACGCCCAGTAAAAACACTCTGGGCTTATAATCGTGAATGCCCTCAACTCGATAAATACCAAGTATAAACATAGGGATGGGCTTCATACTCGGGAGGGGCTTACGATCGGGGAAGTACGGTACTTTAACGCAATTGGGCTTTCACTCTCAGAATACTGTGAATCAAACGCATAAGGCTCTAACCCAAGTTTTAAAAAGCACAATGTGCATATAAAAGTTGAGTTTATACTAATAGTATGCAATGCTTGGCAGCATGAACGGCTATGTACAATGGCGTATACGAATGCGATCAGATACTAAAACGTCATAGCTTTGAAAAGTACCCGGATGTTAAATATGTTCGTTCGTTAATTATTCCCCTCCATGAATGGCCTCCATGGCAAGCACTTCAAATGCCTATTCAAGCTACAGTTATAATTAAAACAAAATTAAACCACTGCAATATTATTTCGAATACAGTTTAGAATATACACAACTATAAATTAACGCCGCATTTAGTTCGCTTTTTAAGTCTAGCGGCTATCATCCTTCGTATAATTGACGAACAGTACGTGTTGTCTGCTCCAGCCCTTTTACGGTCAATTAAATACAAGATGCAACGAAACATTATTTCTTTTACTTGCTGGGATGTAACTTTTCCTTACTTCTGTTACATCCGAGTTAACGTATACCAATTCTATAGCTTACAAAATATTTGTAGACTATTGTCAAGTAATATGAGAGGGTGCACTAGAAACTAGCTTGGATATACGTATATTATATCCCAGTTAACGTATATGCATTATTACTCCCTTATACTAAAATATGAAGTTACACAGATAGGGAAAATGTCTCATGGCATGGAAAATCAATTCTTTCTTTTGTCCAGGTTATATGATAAATATTTTTAGTGTGTATGTATTAAAATATGCAATCATAGTACACATGCAAAGCAAACAAAATTATGTGAATTTGCATTGGTGGTTGGAATTTCCATACAGTACATCGTATTCCCAGATTAACACCGGTTGTTAATGGCAAACACAAAATTGGATTCTCAACTGTTGGTGAGTATATTTGAAAAATGTGTCATTTGATTTTTTTTAAAGTAACATTTCTTCAAACAAAACAAACAACTGCCCAATATAATCTACGATTATATAACATCTCATGCGCGAGATAAGGGTCTCATATGAACAAATATGGCGACTTTGGCCAACGAGTACAAACTAAGTCATTACCAAGCATTAACTCGTACTTGTGATTTCCATTCATGATTGGAAGAGCGCATTTGATTGTGTTTATCAATATAAATGTCGCACATGCCTGGCGCGACGACCACCACCCTTTAGAACTTGATTTCTCACGTCAACAAATAGAACTGGTGATAAAAGCACTGACCATTTGTTTTACACCTGGGCTTGATAATTTTTCGATATAGGGCTAATCCAATGCTGGTGAGACCGACTGGACAAGAACGCATAAAATTACACCCGGTTTTAATGTATGAGAGATCTTTTATTGATCAACCATTCAATTCTGTAAATAACAATAAACAAAAAACTATTTTCAGTAAAAAATACATCACAACAAACTCATTCCCTTACTCAGTATTATTTGTATTAACTCAATTCACATGTCTAAATTTGTCTCAGAAAAATGACTAATGAGTTATGACATTAAAATTACTAATAAATTTTAACTCACTACTGTGGCCGGATATAATTACAGGTTAGACGTCTCTGGTTAGCATTTGAGTAGTATCACAGGTTAGCAGCTTTGACTATATATCACGACTATATATAGCGACACCATTCGCTACATCAGTGCGAGCTGCCATTTTGAATCTATGTTTTGATTCCTTTGGCGCTCAAGGGCGCCCTCAATGTTCAGAAGTTAAGTTTCACTCGAAACAAATGCTTTACATTGGGTTTTGACCATGGAGCTAACAAAAATTAGCTCCATAGTCCCTCAACGGTGTTGATGGACGGTGGACTGACCTAGTTAACATTCAAATCAGTAGATGATTTGGGTAATTGTTTATTTGATTCAATGATCGTCAATATTTGTTTTACTAGATTGGAGCACTTATACGTACAACAAAGAACACATGGAGAGAAAGACAAACAAGTTTTCGAAATCGAATATGATGCTCAGGGTGACAATTGTGGCATTACAGTGTGTCACTATGTGGAATATTGCTGCAGGACAAATGCCTGTGCAATCGCTTGACAGACAGCTGGACGGGGAACTGAGTTATGTGGTAGTAAACCAATACAATGGCGACATATATTTGGCAACCAATAGATCATTACATGGGGACTCGCTGTTTACTCTGTCCAGACTGGACAGTGATCTAAACGTGCTGCAAAGCGTCGATTCACAGGACCATATCAGATTTATGGTAATTGACTATCAAGATAACACCTTAATTGTATGCTCTAGTGTCACCTTGTCTTGTCAATCACTCAACCTTCAAACCCTTGAAGATGCTATGCCAAACAACAACAAGGCGTCATGTGTTATTTCAAATCACCTGCATCCCGTGTCATGTACTCCGACTGGTGTTGACGTGGCTGCTTTCTTTGGTCCAGGACCAGAAGGCAGACGTGTGTTGTATGTGTCAACCACAGCGCAACAATACCCAAGTCCTGACTGTCCAACACCACGCATGTCAAGTAGGCAGTTGTCTCCAGATAATTTTCTAAGTGTACTGTCGATAGGAGAACAGAGAGCAGAAGTATTTCCATCATTTACTTCCCAGCATACCGAGTACACGGACGATATTGTTTATGGGTTTCACTATAATGGTTACAGTTATATCGTGGGGACATTTCAAATGGAATTTGGGATTGGCGATGCACGTATTGCTCGGGTTTGTCAGTCTGATGCTTCCTATACGTCTTACATGGAATCACGCCTCCGATGTGTGAATCTTAGATATGAGGAGATAATACAGGAACAGCTAGTGTCATGGGCATACATGACAACGATCAGCCCTGAACTTTCAAACAACCTTGGCTACGATGAAGGCGAAGACATTCTGTATTTTGTTGTAGGAGCATCGCAACTTTGCCTTGTTCGTATGAAAGACATAGAGGTCGGCTTTGAAACAACTGTCCGAAACTGTTTAAATGGAGGAAATGTTGATTCTGTGGCGCCTAAATATGAACAACGTGCGTGTATAATACCGAATAACGTGAGTGACAGTTATATTTATTTATTAATTGTAATTTATACTATTACTTCTTATTGGTCGGAAGCGTGTCTTTAATTATGCAAGCAGCGATACAATACATGGTACATCTCTTTTGTGTGTGTTAATAAGTAGACCCCAAACGTGAATTAAACACAGTACGACATTGTTGAGTCCTACTGTCGACTAAATGTTGTGCGCTATGGACATAATTTGTAATGAAGAACCTTGTCACCTTCCAGTACTTTAGGTTTAAAATTGACAACTTTTCAGAATTGCAAACAATTGTTACAGTGGCTTTCTCGTGAACTCGGAAGTTTTGCCGACCACCAACACATAATCGAACATACGGAAATTACCTGTGTTTTTTTCTAATTATGTCGATTAAGTCGATTTTACACGTTGTCGCCAACAAGAGCCCACTCGAATAAATTTTGAAACACCGAATACTGGTGCGAATTTTCATTAGTATAATAATTCGGATATTACAACATATTAGTAAGGTTACTTGCAATTTTGAATAGTGATATACCTTGCCACACTTGTTGAATAAACATTGTGTTATTTCTTCTATAGACTGAAACAGATATCCGTGATGTTTTGTGTGGAATAAATATACCATATCAAACTCCAATTGCAGCTGTCGATGCTATTTTGGGTGTGGCCATTCTAGATGTTTACGAGACAAGACAAGCGGCTATTTTGGAAACTGGTGGACACCATGTAATTGTTTATAATAATGGTATCAACATCGGCCAATGGAATATGGTAAGTTGTTTAGAATCGGGAATGGGCATGTACCGTAAATGCTTTGTCTTTATTACCAATCAATTTGGCACGCTTTCCCTGCATCAGCGTGTGCCCGAATTAACCAGTTAGTGGGAATTAACACTCATTGAACATACTGGTTGTTGAATTCCGAAATATAGCCGTTAATACAATACAATATAATACAATAATGGTCGGCTGAGATTGTTGTTCTCAAACCTTCAGTTTCTTGCCTCTGTTTTGACAAGGTGGTTAGCGATCAAGATGGCTGCCGCTTACAGAAAGACCACCTCCAACGCCAACGAGTCATCTAACTAGAAACTATGCGATACGGTGCGAGAATACTGATGGGATTCCAGTTGAAACAGTTGTGAAGACAATTGTTGATTTGATGGGGGATCAGTAATATTGAAGTAGCCTTTCACATGAATCGATCTGCCATTGTTTCTCTACCTGATGTGTTACTTTGATATGCCACTGGCATTGACATTGGAGACTGGCACGTGTCAATCGAACCTCTAGTCCATCCACCCGTTTATCGCATATTACCTTTACGTTTACATTTACGTTTCATTCGACGAATTGACATGCTTTTCATGTAAACATAAATAACACACAGAAAACATGTCCAAACTAATAATCAATAGATATTCAAATAATACACAGTGAAGACAACGGTGATCCAAATAACTCTATCTATATGCAACAGGTGAAAGGTAATTTAAAGCCTACCGATACATTGACGAATGAAGACGATGAGGAAACAGATAAAAATGGCACAATACCACCAGATACTGTTATAAAAAAATCATGCGAGTGATCTAACAGTTAACACTTAAACTGATATAGTTCATCCAAGAACACGACTAATACATAAATAAAAATAGAACTGAACCAAATTTCGATGGAAATGAAATTGAAAATGTTACAGAAAATAGTTCAATTTATGAAGAGAGGGTACAACCTGCTCTTTCCCCTTCCATTGCACCATCATCACCCCCTCACCTCCTCGCCCACGTTTATACAAAAGTGACAGTGGTTAATTGTAAGCAACATCCCAAGGTTACTGTTTCCCTAGTTTTCATCACTCCATCACTTGATTTCACTATTGTATCCCCGCCCACCTTCTGAAGTCCCTCTCTATTTTGTTTTCCACAGCAGCGACTGTTAATATTTTGTCACAGTAGGCACGTTTTACTGAATAGAAGAAACTTCTTGCACCGTGACAGCTTGTTAAACACAAAAAAAACACTGGTCTTTCTACGCGTGCGCGAAATCAGTTTCTGAACGAAAATGATGCATGTTACTATTTCTTTTTCCAGTTAGAGATACAGAATGGCAATAATTAAAAAATAAAAATATTTCATCTCAGGTGCAAAGATAGCATTCACAAAATCATGCACAATTTTTACAATAATCTGTACATACCTAATAACATTGACATTGAAGCTCAAAATAATCTTTTAGAAGGGTTGTCGAAACTACGCGAAATAGACCGTGATGAGCCAATCACATTTGCCGAACTGAGTGCTACTGTCCAAAACAATATTCTTGACGGGATACCAAACGAATTCTACAAAATGTTTTGGCATATTATTGGAGTCGATTTGTGCGATGTATTTACTGCTGCTATAAACGAAAATGTGCTCCCTCTATCCTGTACAGATGGGTGATGTTACCAAGCTAAAATGCTGGCGGCATGTGTTATGCAGCGTTTACAACATCTTCAAACGCTTGCATTGCGTCTGCGCAGTGTCATCACGGATATTTGTTAAGATGCTGCACGCCTTTGGATTTGGTGACCGTTTCATTTCTTACATTCGCCTCATATATGCCAATACCCTGGCCTCACCTTACAGCAAAACTAAACACTCTAAACTCACTGCTAACTTACAGGCAGGATTTCATTTCATTTGCTACATGTTTACGGGCATGGATTAAACTCCAATTTACATTTTCTGACCAAACAAGTATTGTGCCTTGTGTAAAGTACACCTTTACATCACCTGGCATTCTCCTATTGTGAACTCCTTCAGGTTTGAAAGTCGGTAGATAAAGTGTGTAAATTTTAAACCGTAAAACCGACATTCTTAAATAGCCACTTTTTAATTACCCACTCATTTTACATCCCATAAAGAACGAACCTTTTGTGCTCATACACTTTGTGGAAGCGGGAATAAGTAAAGTCCGTTAGTTAGGCTTAGAAACGAAATAAAACTTGGCTAGATACCACTGATATGTCGAATAGAATTATAATCCATACGAAGTGTACTCTTTAGCTCAGTGTTAAAGTTTTCCACGATTTTATTCGCACCAAATGGAAAAACAAGAGACTGCACCAGAGAATCCTGGCGCGCCATTTTTTAGAATGTTAGCCTGTTTTTGTTTTTGTTTTCCATTTTAATCCAGTAAGTATATTTGACGTAGGATTAGGCTTAACTAGAATTGCCTTTCTGAATAATTGCCACGTTTACACGACAGCATTCTATCGGAGCCGAACTATGGCTCCTCCCGCCGATTAACGCGGTCAGGCCGAGCGAGTGCCGAGATCCGGCTGATTTCAATCCAGTTCGTACAAAGCCGAACGGAACAGCCCCTCAATTACTTAGTATGTAGAAAAAACACGGCTGAAAACGATTTCGGTGTCTTGCTTGTGTTGTTGTTTCATTACAAGATACGATACATGTCAGAGTATTATACTGTTGAGCTGAGAGAAAAAGGTAACAGTCATGAGTCTGAGACAATGACTTGTGTTACGATTTAGGTATCTCGAATAAACAGAATAAACGGCAGCTAAAACATGTTAAATGTAGCAGCATATACACATAGGTTATTGCAATGCAAATTTACCATCTTTTTATTGTTAACTGTTGTGACATGTGTCAACCTAAACCTAGTAGGAACACGTCACCGTACCGTGGCCGCTTCTACGATATTTATCGTTGGTGTCTTTAACAAGTTTCTTCAATTTTAATTGGATCTGTCCAGTTGTCCTTTCAAGTTTTTGTCGCACACTTTCGTACTATTTTTCTATTTCTGGCTGAGCTATCACTCCATCGTAGTATTTCTTTACCCTCCCAAATATATATTAGGGTGCGCACCTCTCCGTCAAGACAGACATTACAAACGATGTTTTTCTCCGCCATAATTTGAAATGAGGTTACTTGAAGAAGACTATTGAGGGCGTGACTTCGCCCCGATCGCTGGGCCCTAATGCGTTTACACGGCCGGAGCCATGTCAGGGTCCAATCCTATCAGAGTTCAACCCCGAGGGTTTATTGGAGCCGGACTTGGCGTACGCGTACACACGGTCAAATTTGTTGGCTCGACACAACTGCCAAACATTTATGATATATACGAAGTTTATTTTATGTCACATTCATTGCATGTCATCACATTCTTTACGTACCATGCGGACTTACTTGATGTTAAGCAAAATTGGAACTCATGCATAGACGATCACTGCTGCGACAAATACGACTGCACTGTAGTTTGTGTGATCTGTTATTGATGTATTTATTTATTTAATTTGATTTATTTTCAGAAAACTATAATACAAGAAGAATATTACTTTAGAGAGTATCCGCCATATCATATATGTTCTGAAATGGTACAGCAGATCAGAGTTCACCCAGAGGGTGAACATATTTACACGTTCACAAATCGTCAAGTTGAAGTAATTTGTTTTATTTCTCTTTTATTTTTACTTGAACACATATTGTACACACAAGCCTGTATTGCTTTCACTCTTATTATCACGTAACTTGTTCTCTCTCAGATTTGCTCATTTAATATTTGTTTGTCATTCAAAACATTTTGTGTAATTTGGGGTAAAAATGAAAAGTCTGATCTGTAAACATACTTACGCTATCTCGAAGATTGTCACATCAGAATCTCGTTTGTTTTTTCTAAATACTTTGCCACCAGAGGGCGCATCAATGTAGCTGGCGAGGACAACCGGGCATAGACAATGTTGGAAACCCTGCTGTTTCAGTTCATATTTTATATGTTGTATTATCCACGTGAGATGTTTAACTCATCCTCGGATTAATAAGCAAATACATTATTTTATTTACAACCAGTGCCATTTATGTATAATATCGGCGTGTTACATACATGGCGTGGTTGCATCATGAAGGTAGTGTACTCATATACTTACGTTTCTGTTCTATTTCTAGAAATCACAAAACATAACTGTTGTCGCAAAATCTCCACTGTTTAACTGCACAGTATACGTACAAGACTGTAATGGGTGCCTGTATAATCCAGTCTGCGGTTGGTGCGAGCTACACAATAGGTATGATTTTGTTCACTTAATCTGTCTTGGATTACTTACATGCAGTCACTGGTTGCCCTTATGCCCAGAGATTCAAAAAGACTATGTGTTCTCATTTTCATTGGGGTAATTGTGTACTGAAATTTACAGTTTCTCATATCGATGCTGATAGATAGTTTAGAAATGTTAGGCAAGCTTTATGAACTAATGGTTATAGTATTCTAAGCAGATTTGGTTGGTACTGGGTGAACTATATGGGCTTCTTTTCTTTCAGTCCGTCTTCACTCGGCAGCAAAGAGTTGTATTGCGTTTATGTGTATGTCTGTCATATCTCGTAAACATATCAATAGTTTTACAGTAAATTAGTATAATATCTGGTTAACAATTCACATGAGCACGGTATAGCTACAATTCTTATAGATACGCAGACAATATCACTCGACACAACATCCACGATCAAGTCCACAAATGCAAATGCGATCAGTATGACGTAACTGATAGTAAGCATATTATCTTTCCTCTATAGGTGTACTTTACAAACTCAGTGTTCGAGTGGAAAATGGCTACGTCCAACAACGTCTGAATTGCAGAATAGAATTGAATTAGGAGTAATTTACGAGCATTGTATCTATATTGACCTCGTGGGGAACTTCACAGTGCAGGTTCGTATTTATCTATATTGACCTTGTGGGGAACTTCACAGTGCAGGTTCGTATTTATCTATATTGACCTCGCGGGGAACTTCACAGTGCAGGTTCGTATTTATCTATATTGACCTCGCGGGAAACTTCACAATGCAGGTTCGTATTTATCTATATTGACCTCGCGGGGAACTTCACAGTGCAGGTTCGTATTTATCTATATTGACCTCGTGGGGAACTTCACAGTGCAGGTTCGTATTTATCTATATTGACCTCGTGGGGAACTTCACAGTGCAGGTTCGTATTTATCTATATTGACCTCGTGGGGAACTTCACAGTGCAGGTTCGTATTTATCTATATTGACCTCGTGGGGAACTTCACAGTGCAGGTTCGTATTTATCATTCATTTTCCCTTGTGCTACATTTAATTTCCCAAGTGAAGCAACTGAACACACGTTTTGTCGTTTATCTTATATTATATGTATTTATTATTTATTAATAGTTTTCCCCTAAATCCGGACTTGCAACACACAATGCAACACAGTTGATGGTAAACGTCACCACCGAAATTCCATTACGCTTCTATTTTGATCAGCCAGCAGCGGTCTACGTGAGCAATAATATAATTTGTGGTGATGTGCAGATTTTAGATAACACATTTAGTGACGATGATTATTCTTATTACGAGTTCGGTTATAATGGTGATTTACCCCCACCGAGGCGAAAAAGGATCGTTAGCGGAGAACCGTTCAGCACAACCACACCATCATCACATACAACAGAACCTCGAAGTTCCAGCATCAGCACAACGTCGCCATCTCAAACAAAAGTAAAAACTACTAGGTAAAAATTAAAATTGTTCCTCGATTTATTTGGATTTCGAAGATTATATTTAACAACGCGTGCCCAATTAGAATTTTGCCATTTAAATTTTTTTTCGTTTAAGACTAGCAAGAAATTGTAATTTAAATTAAACACTTAAACGCGAGTTTAATATATTTTACTATATCTTTCTGTTCAAGATATTACAGTTATTCTTTAATGTGTACATTGGACCCACCGGGTAATGAGCTGTCGTCTCCAGTCGCCGTCCAAATATTTAATTTCCAATTATTATCAGGATCGTTCTGGCTTAACTCTACGGAGAGATTTAGCTTTGTGGTAAGTAGAAATGTTTTCCGATTGGTTTTACTTTCATTACGTACACGATGTTACGTTTGACAATAACTATTTCAGATTTCATGATTACATTTATGATGATAACGATGGGGGTGATAATGAGTTCGATTAACCTAATGATATTAGTTTATAATGTGTAAAAATGTGTTATTTATGTCAAGGTACCTAAGTTGAGATCCTTCGATCCGAGGAAAGGGCCGCGCTCAGGAGGTACCGTTATAGAAATAACGGGTGAACATTTACTAACTGGCAATGACATACACATTGGAATTGCGGGGACAGAGTGCCGTCTACTAGAGTAAGTAACCCTAGGTTCAGTAGTAGACATTATTATATAGTCATACGATAATTATCAGACATAGTATTGATATCATATATGTTTGTTTTCTTCCTTTGATAATATCCGTGAGTTTATGGTTGTCGTCTGTCTGTCGTTTCCGTTTTTGTTGCCAGACATCAGTAGTCTAATCTAATGTCAATCTTATTTTATAAATCATATATAATCTCAGTAAAGTATTTTGAGATATTGGTGAAAATGAGTATTTGGAAGAAAGTAACAATAACCTTCTCTGATGTTTGCCTGAGTGGAAATTTGAAACCAGCATTGTAATTAGATAATCGACTCCAACAGAGATCTGTTTTTGTGTAGCTTGAAAATTCAAATAAAATAACGAAAACATATAATGAAAATAGGGAGCGATAATAAGCACTTGTTTAACCTTGAAGGAATGGTCCTCGTTGCTGTTTTTGTTGTTGTTACAATAACTCAATTTTGATGTGACTAGCATGTATAATTTTCACGATGTACTCAAAAACATAGACATAAATGTACTATGTACATTGAAGATACAAGATATTATTGTTCAACTTCAGCATTTATTTATTCGCAGAATCAGATAATCACAATGATATACACATACCGATCAGTCTTGTTGTCATTTTGTAATATAGCCAATCTTTCCAAGGTATTTTCCATCAAATTTTGCGAAGACATATGGTTGCATGTTTTGTTCTATAAAGGACCATACATGTGATATTAACTCATAAAGAATAGTGTGCTGTGCTCTAATCAGTTGCGGGGGGGGGCCTCAGAAAAAAAACTGGGGGAATGGGCATCGCCCTCCCCTAAATCAAGCTGAAACTCGTTGTGTATTGATGTCGAGGCGACACAGTTGAAGGGGAATACCTGTCTTGTACCTCAAAATACAGAAAATAGCGTTTCAGAGGGTTTTAATTTTTCCTTCGGCGCGAGGGATGGTGAGCAGACATCGCCCCCCCCCCAATGCACAATTTTGTGCCGTCGCCTCAGCTAATTTATATTACCGAGTTGCCTCTGGAAATCGAACCACAACACGTTTGAACGGTTGAAGCGAGGCGAACATGCATCTCACCATTGTCTCATCTCTCATTTGCTTAAAAGCGATATCGCAGATCCACAAGTTGCCATTTTGCTAATGTATGTTTAACTTACAGAGAGTATTCCAATGATACTCAGCTAATTTGCATATCGGGAGCACATTTGCCAATACAGCACTTTGTGTCGATCACATACAATGGTGGTTACGTAACGCAATCGACACAGTTATACGCCTACACCGATGATCCTGTAATTGACACCATATTCCCACTAAGAACGTTCATAAGGTGAGTATTCACTTCAATTTTGCAATGCTACGTTTAACCTTATATAATGTGTAATAATTTGGGACAGAACAGGGGCTTGCGTTCAGAAAAAAAGATTTTTGTATTGTAATAAATAAAAAGGGTTAAAACAAAATTACGTTTGATCAAATTTTCAATTCATTGAGTCAAAGAAAACATAATAGTCTACAGGTCAAATTTGCTACAAAAGTTAACGTTGACTGTCTATGGTTTTGTTCCCCTGGCCTGCTAGAAGCTACAACGTATGTCAAAATGTTGCTTTACATTTCTCTGTGATGTAATGAACACCCTGTTTGAAATGACTGCTCCTAATGTATCACTTACCAAATGTATATTGTGACATGACATTGATTAATGCGGTTAATTATTTAAACTTTAATACAACTTTTGTTTACGATTTATGCGGTGTCTCGGTACGATGTTGTTATTATCAAGCACAATTGGATATCTTTATTTGATGCGCAAAAACACCTCTGTAATTTATATCATAGTCGAAAATGTCGATATAGCGTCTAAAATGTTTGTTCGGTTTAGCAACTTGAATGCTAGATTGAATATATAAAGGCAAGAAATTCAGTTGATCTCTGAATCTTTGAATAACAAAAGTAGCATACATCCTGTCCAAATTTGGGGAGAAATTATGGGTTAAACGATGAAATACAAAATTTTCAAGTATGTTCGTTTTTCCGAGACTTTGTGGGAATATTGTACTAATATTATTTATTTATTGTTTCAGTGGCGGAGAACTCCAATACGTTACTGGTACGAATTTAGATTCTATAGCACGCCCAGTGTTTGTAGTAGTACTAATTATCAACGACACAATTGTCGACAGGTTCCAGTCGGTGAGTATTAACAAAATTTGTCCCGTTCTCGTATTGTCTGTCCCAAATTTGTTTTAACGTATGTGAACGAAATACCATTATTTTGCTAGCCTTGCTGATACTTGTCTTTGTTGTAACCGTGATCACTTCCGCTTTCCAAATTCCGAATTTGTGAGATGCCAAATCAAACAAAGATGTGCTAGTATTGGAATTAATCTTCCATGATATACCAGCAATGTATTGATTAGAACGCGCCTCATTTCTTCAGCTGTTGTTGATATAATAAATGACACCAAATATATA